TATTCCCTTCTTATTTTCTTCTTTTCTCTCCTTTCATGCTTTCCTCGTTCCATCTCTCTCTCCCTCCTCTTTTTTCTCTTTAAATCTCTCTTAAATTTCCTCATCTCTTTACATCTCTCCTCTTCCCTTGCCTCTCCCCATCCTTTCTTCATTCTTCTCTTCAATTTTTCCTTCACTCTCCTCATCTATCCTTTCTTCTATTTTCCTAGGCACTTCTCTTTTTTCCTCTCATCTTGTCCTGTCTTTTTATCTCTCTCCTCCTCTCTTCATCCTTTTTTTCCTCTTCTTTCATCTTATCTTTTCCCATCTCTCCTCCCCTGTCCTCTTCTTCTCTCCTCGTCTTTCCTCTCCTCTTCTCGTATTTGCTCTCTTCTTTTCGTCTTACAATTTCTCCTCTTCTTACTTTCTTTTTCTTTCCTGTTTTCCGCTTCTCTCCTCTCTGCACCTCCCTTCTCCTCTCCTCATCTCTTCTTTCCTTTCTTCTTTTCATGTCTCTTCTCCTCTCTCCACCTTTTTCTCTTCTTTCATTTTCCATCCTCTTCCTATCTTCCCTCTCCTTTTCTTTGATCTAATCACGTCTCCTCTTCTTTCTTTCCTCTCATCTCCTTTTCTTTTTTTTCTTTGCTCCCCCCTCCTCTCCTCTCCTTTAATCACTCCTCTTCTTTGCTCTCCTCTCCCCTCCTCTCCTCTCTTTTCATCGCTCCTCTTCTTTGCTCTCCTCTCTCCTCTTCTTTCATCGCTCCTCTACTTTGCTCTCATCCCCTCCTCTTTCCCTCTCTCCTCTTCTCCTCTCTTCACTTTTAAAAGGACGTGTTGACCCCGTGTTCCAGTGAATGGATTTTAGCTCAGCCTTTGGTCTCCAGGGAAAGCAACTTGAGTGCTCTCCAACCTAAACAATCCATTCCAGGAGGATTAAAGAGCAAAGACTGACACAGCGCGAGTCACAGCAGAGTCATTTTCTCCTCCAGTCAAATCAGAGACATTTTCAGACGCAGTTAAATCAGTGCCATTTTCTTCTGGAGAGAGCGGCCGATCACGCGGAGCTGATGGAGTGGAGTGAGGAGCTGCACCAGCTGCTGGTAAAATTTCCTCTAAACACTAGAGACAGCAGTGGGGAAGCCTCGGCCTGCACTTAAACATGAAGTTTAACAGCAACTTAAACTGACTTAAGCCTAGATCTCCTAAAGGGTTATACAGTGAACTATGCCCTTGTCTGGATAAAAAACCCTCCAAAAATTGCATTACTTTTCTGACATCAGCTTTCAGTCTCTGAAATTTCATTTCCCGCTGGTGGAGCCGGTTCTGTTTGGGCATTTCTGTAACGAGAACACGCGTCCCCCATAGCCAGCCATCAAGCCCTGACGGGCCATTAGGGCTGATGGCGGCACTGCGCTCGGACGTTTTAATGTCGAGTTTGAGTAACTGACTTCCTGGTGCATGACTGAACCTCCAGACACAACTTTGACCTCGCTCGTATGCTTACGGCCAGAGGGTACACATGCATGAGTCCTGGGCTTTTCTTTTTGCCCCCTACTCTGGCTGCTGACCTCTCTGTGTTTGGTCATCTTCTCAAACGACAGCATCTTGTTTCAGTCGAAAAAAGTCTAATAAAGTCTCAAATTTTATTATACGTTCTGCAGAATGAATTGATTAAGATGTAAACAGAGTCATTCTGAGTGGTTTGGTGTGAAATGATCTGTTCTAGAGAAACAGAGTCAGAATTGTTCACAGTGGTGGTGATAGGAGCCAGACGTCCACCTCTAAAAGCTCCCTCACAGAAAGTTGAATTCACTGCTGATGTCTGAGACACTGAGTGCATTTACTTGCATTTAATAATCCGATAACTGCAGAAAATCAGATTTTGCCAGTAATCCGATCAACGTGTTTACATGCACTTGAGTAATCAGATAATGGGAAGCTCCAGGTCTACATGAGTCAGACAGTAATCAGATTTCTGCTTTGAAACCAGCCAATAAACTCACAGAAGACGAGGCGTAAACGTAATGTAAACCTCAAACTTTATGCTGCAGCTTTTTTTTAAACATTGCGCCACTTTACCTGAAAAATATGAACATACATCATCTAGAAGATGAAGAATATTCAAATCCTTCATTTTGTCAAGCATGTATTTGGTTTCAGTGGCACTCTTTTTTGTGTTATGCTGTGTCTCGCGGTTTCGCTGCTGGCTTATTTTCAGTATCACAGTCTGTTTTTGCACATGTGCAGACTGAGAAATCCGAAAGAAATCAGAGTAAGAGTTCACATGCATTGAGAAATCTGATTACTGAGCTAAAATCCAGCCTCTTTATCAGATTTCTTAATAAGATTTATCGACCTTACACTGATCTAAAAAATCAGAGTGTGCTGTTTACAGGACCATTTGAATAATCAGATAACTGCAGAAATCCCATAATGATCGGATAACTGAGAGCATGTAAAGACACTCATTGTTTTACGATAGCTTTGAGATGAAGTTTTTGGCCTAAAACATATATATTTTTTAAATCTACTCATGGTGGAGGGATAGAGTGTTTTAAGGCAAAATAGTCCCAGAAGAAAGCTTATTGTACCAAATGTTCGACTATTTTACCATTTCAGGTCATTACATATAAACTGGGAAGACTAGTAGGTTCACTGGTGGTTTTGGATGGTAAACAAAATGTCTATATTTGCGCTGTAGACATTGTGACGTCTGGTTCGTATCACCACCACTGTAAAGAAATCTGAGCCTGTAAGTTTCTCTGCAATGAACCATTTCACACCAAATCACGTTGTTTACATGCCACCGATTGAGTTATGAAGAAAGTTCGAAAAATTAGTGGAGCTCCGATTCAAGAAACTTGTTTATAGTTTCAGATGCAGAAAAAACAGACCTGTGAGTGTAAAGAACCTTTTAAATGTTAAAAGAACCTTCACAGAACCTTTAGATCCTTTACTTTATGTAAAGATTTTTCACACTCAAACAAGTCATTTACAAATATGGTTCTCTAAAGCAGCAGCTCACAAACTTCTGTAGTCAAAGGCCACCAGTGTGGACAGTAAGTGCCAGGGGGCCCCTCAACCCCCTGTGTGTGTATATATTTATTTTTCTTCTTAGATATTTATATTTTTTGTATTTAAATTCTACAAGGGGGCTACGCACCTAAGATTTTCACTCACTTTCCACCTGTGTAAATGTGATGTGACAATAAACGTGATTTGATTTGAACAATCCCAGGTCATTATTTTCACTTAACAAACAAGGAGCAGGTCTAACCAGAACCCTATCCAGTTTACTAGATATTTCTGACCAGCACATACAGACGTGGCCCTGTCCTGTGACAGTACAGATTGTTCATTGGGTTTGCACTGTGACTGGTTGGTATGTCTTTTAATTTTTGATAACATCGACTACCATTTTAAACATGCCCTACGTTTTAAGGTATGGCTGAGGCAGTGGTTCTTCTATGGCTTTAAACAGGAGGCTTTTTGGCACCTGTGTTTTTAAGAGAGTACTAGTGTATTCTTTATATATGAGGAGAAGGAAATATTGTAAACATGCTGAGATAGTGGTCTAGTTTTTGGTGGGGAAATGAATAAAAGGCTTTATCCTTCAGGATGTGTGACATTCTCATCCCACATAAGTATGTAATGCACTGACTGTCCCATAATATTCATAATGTATATGATACTGTTACATTATTACAGCAACACATTGTTACATTAATACAGTCAATATTGTCACAGTAGTACTGCACCTTAGTGGTTCTAATTATCTTTATATAATTAGAACCACTAATTATATAAATATATAATTATATGAGGGGTAATAGATCTGTACAGCAAAAAGATAGATAGAAAGATTGATTGATTGATTGATGAACAACTAGAAAGAGAGAAAGAAAGATAGATAGATAGATAGATACATACATAGATAGATAGATAGATAGATAGATATACAGATATAGACAGACAGACAGATTGACAGACAGCTAGACAGACAGACAGGTAGATAGACAGACAGACATACAGACAGATAGACAGACAAACATACAAACAGATATATAGACAGACAGACAGATAGATAGATATATAGATAGATAGATAAATAGATAGATAGATAGATAGATAGATATACAGATAGATAGATAGGCAGACAGACAGATTGACAGACAGCTAGACAGACAGACAGGTAGATAGACAGACAGACATACAGACAGATAGACAAACATACAAACAGATATATAGACAGACAGACAGACAGATAGATAGATAGATAGATGATAGATAGATAGATAGATAGATAGATAGCAACAACAAGATGGTTCTTCAAGTGTTCTTCAGTAAAGACAATCGTTCTGTATAGCACCAAAAAGTGTTCTATTATAACAATGTCAAGCGAAGAATGCTATACAGAACCACTTTCAAAAAGGTTCTAGGCAAACCATTTGCAGCACATTCTCTATCAATCTGAAGAACCATTTCACCATGCAAAGAACCAGTTAATGCAAATGGTTCTATGCAAATGGTTCTATGAGTGTTCATGGTTCTATATTGTCTAAAGAACCCTTGAAGAACCATCTTTTTAATGATTGTAAGAAAATAAATAAAACAAATCAAATTCCTAAATAAATGAAATTATGAAATAATCCAAGAAATTGCTTGTGGAATAAAATCATTTTTTAAAGAAGAGAATCCCTCATTTCTACACCTCCCCATCCTCAGAACCTGCCAGGCCCCGCCCCTCCAGAGAGTGATGGACAGCATCTCTCTCTCTCTCTCTCTCTCTCTCTCTCTCTCTCTCTCTCTCTCTCTCTCTCTCTCTCTCTCTCTCTCTCTCTCTCTCTCTCTCTCTCTCTCTCTCTCTCTCTGGCGACCAATCAGCGGCGGCGCTGAGACGTTCGGCTGTTGCCCGTGGATACAACAGGGGGAGCTTCGAATCTGGTGTTTACAGTGGAGCGGAGCTCGCGAGTCTAACGGTCGTACCGGTCGCTCTCCTTCTGTATGGGATGAACGCGGCTCTGTAGGACTTTTATGGGCTGATTTTTTGGTGAAATCCTCGGCTAAACTTCACCACAGCGCTCTCTCGGTTATGTGGTAAGGCCGTCTGTGGTCTTTTTCTTTCTTCGCTTCTTCTCTGACACCGTGTTGGCTTGGCTTTTTTCTGAGGACAAAGATCAGAGATAGTTGGGTTCTTTTCTTGGCGTTTCCGCGACTCCACCAGCCCCGCCGCCCCACCGAACGACGAAGATAAACAGGCGAGATGGATAACGAAAAGTACTTGCCGGAACTGATGGCGGAGAAGGACTCGCTCGACCCGTCTTTTCGACACTCCTTGCGGCTGCTCGACCAAGGTAAGTTTCCCGCCCGTGTCTCGCGGAATCGAACTCATGGAACGCAGACGCGATTTGAAATAAAAACCCGCGCTTTTTTGTCCGTTAGTACCGTTATTTTCCGTTTACCATCTCCTGAATGGAGCGGACTTTTAGGGAGAGAAACTGAGGGAAAAACGAGAAAAGAAAGACAGAAAGAAACGCGAGCGCAGACCATCCGACCCTGAGGTAACGTCTAATGGACTGTGAGTGCGGAATACACCTAAACACTTAAAAAGGATGGTTCTTCAAGGGTTCTCTAGTCAAGGGAATGGTTCCTTCGAACCATGAGATCTATATAGAAGCATTCCATGCTTAAATGGTTCTTTGTATGGTGAACTGGTGCTTCAGAATGATGGAGAATGTGTTGTATATGGTTCTATATAGAACCTTTTTGAAAGTAGTTCTGTAGAGCAAGAAAAGGGTCACAAACTTAACATGGTAACAATAGAACAACACTTTTTGGTGCTATATTGAACCGTTTTTCATTTTCCATCAATCTGAAGAACAGTTTCACCATGCAAAGCACTACTTAAGCATGCAGATGGAATAGAGCTATTACTATAGAAGCCTTGAAGAACCATCTTTATTAAGCGCTATAAGTGTACTAAATGAACCAAACAAGAGCAGGTTTGGAAAGTCTGTTGAATAAAGTTATGTTTATGATAAAACTATGTTATTTAAATGGACTTTAAGTAGACTGAGAGTGTTCATGTTAAATTAGGATGATAAGTGAGGGAGCCATGGTGTGGAGTTTCCTCTCTTTCGCTGGTTTTATGGTCATTTAGTTCATTTAGTCTACATTAATGAGGTTCACTCATATTACTTGTACATTTTAAATATGATTAATGATGGAAATAAAGGCTTGCAAGCCTTCCAACCAGACAAAAGATGTAGACTCATTCATTTTTACTAGACTAGCTGACTCACTGTTCCTCAAAGTTTTCACTGCACTTAATTCTAGATGCATTCTAGACATTTTAAGCAGCTCATATTTTTATATATATTTTCCCTCTACAGCAGACCAGACTGCCAGCCCTTCTGAAGGTTAACTGTACATTTATGACAGCCATAGAATGAATGTATCCCAGTGAGAGAGCAGGTGATGAAGAAAGAAAGAACACGTCATCCATACCTCAGTTAAGGAGCGCAGACTAAGTGTACAGGAATGTAGCCCTAGACAGGAACGTAGACTGAATGTGTCCTCCATGAGAAGGTAGGTGTGGAAAGAAATTCCAGATTATCAGTTAACGTTAAACGTACAATAGACTCAACGTCCTTCATGAAGTCCAGACCAAGGCTGTGTTCCATTCTCCAAGCAGTACTGCTGTAGCCCCTACACACTTGAGCACGGTTAAGCGAAATGCAGTGGATAAAAACCTACATTCAGAACGTGCTGCAGTGTCAAACACCCATCTTCAAGAGACATGCAATGACTGATGGGTAAACTTTCCTGACGCTTCTTGTGAACTGTAGTTCACTACTCCCTGTATAGTTTGAAGTTTGTTTACACTGGACGTTTTTCTCTCCCTACATACCTAAAAAGATGGTTCTTCAAGAGTTCTTTAGGGAAAAATGGTTCTATATAGAATCATGAGCTCTTATGGTTGAAAAGGATTCACTGCATGGTGAAATGGTTCTTCAAATTGATGGAGAATGTGCTACAGATTGTTCTACATAGCATGAAAAAGGGTTCCGCTATTACTATGTCAAGCTTGTAACAATATAAAAATTTCAATCATGCAAAGACTTCTTTAAATGTTCGTGATTCTTGAATGATTCGATGATTGACAAGGTTCTTTCAATGGTGAAAGGGCATATAGGTTTTGTGTACCTTCCAAAATGGTTCTGACATAGTAACAATAGCAGAATGCTTTTCTATGCTATGTAGAACCATCTGTAGCACATTCTCCATAAATGTAAAGAACACTTTCACCATGCAAAGAATGCTGCATGCGAAGGGTTCAATATAGAACCATTTTCTTTACTAAAGAACCCTGAAAATACATCCTTTTTAACAGTGTATTTCCACACTTGTTCTCTCATCGAGCACAGTTTATGTTCATTTAGGGAATTTACTTAGTTAATTTAGTTTTGTTTATTTTATGCTTGTTTAGTTTGTTTAGTTCACTTGTGCATTTTAGTTTATGTTCACTTGGTCTCCATTCATTTATTTAATTTATGTTATATTTAGCTCCTTTAGTTCATCTATTTGAGGTTTAATTATGCTGTATTTATTTAGTTAATTTAGTTTAGCTTCCTCTTATTTTAAATATCGCTGCTGTCGGAACGAAACCTCATATCTCCATTTTTGTCATTTTTTCAGTTTCTGACATTGTTTGAAAATGCCTGTCGGTCTTTATATTGTATGTAAATTTCATGATGAATGGACCAAAAGAAACGGCCCAAAATGACTTGGAAAAAATTCTGGTTCCATTGACTTACATTAAAAGTGAAGTATGTTTTTTTCCTTCTCCTGTACAGTTACCATTTTGGAGATACGAGGTTTTGTTCCCGACAGCAGTCATATGGTCATTTAGCTTGTTTAATTGAAATTCATTTAGCTGGTTCACTAAATCTGTGTTCTTGCCTGTGTGCATTTAGTCTACATTCATTTAGCTCATTTGTTCTAAGCTAGTATATTTAGTTTACTCTACATTTATTGTAAATTTAGTGGGTGATCTGGATGAACTTATCACACCTCCACTCTCATGCAGTCTGCATCCATTTAGCGTACACTCAGTTAGTCTGTCCAGTGTGCGGTCACCGTAAATTTTATACTAAGGTTGTATGGTTAAATAAAAAAGAAAGAGCAGGTGTTCCGTTGCAGGAGGCATCTTACACGTTACGACAGGAACGAAATGGAGCGTCACACCCAGGAGAATATTAAGAAATAACTGCACAAACCATGACGAACACGATCTGTCCGTCAACCGATCTGACCCGAGCTTGGGTCGTGTCTGCTTGGAGCACTTTTTTAACAATGTAAAGAACTTTGCGCTCATAATTCTGTTCCTCTAAGTGCCTGAGGAGCCTTGGCCGCAAACATGTCTGCTTTAGACTTTGTGTATTGGGGCATGAGTGAATCTGGAACAGCTGGAGGCCGGTGCGTGCCATTCTTCGGTGAAAAGCTGGAGTTATGCAATAGGATGTTCCAGTGTGGCTGAATACCAGACCTGCAGTCAGTTTGTGAATGGCAGGGTTTTGGTTTGGGATGATTCATCCTGATATGGAGGCGTGATGTCATAGACATGGAGCATAAAACATGTGTGTTGTTCATTTATGACCTTTTTTTAGTGCAGTAACTTTGTTGAGCTTTGTTGAGGTTTGATTGTGGATGCTTTTGTTCTGATGTTGTTGCCTCCAGCTTTTGTTTTAGCAGCATACACATGATATACTTGTAAGGTGAGTGCAGTATTTTATTTCATGCATTGTTTTCCTGGTATTTTTTTTCTTGGACACCCTGAAATACTGCATTTTAGTCCAACAGGTTGCAGTTTCACCAGATATTTTTAGATGTGCAGAGCGGCTCTGATTTCACAAGGTCCCACTACATTGTCACATTGTGTTGTCATGCTTTATGACAACACAAAACAGCTTGTCCAGCTCTTTTAGCGTGTTAATGGTCTGAGCTCCTTCACAGCTGACGGTAAAAGTCTCCATGCTGTCCTTCCATACTTAATGCGCTCTCTAAAGTACGAAGCATCTACCAACTCTAGGGAAAAGTAAAGACAAAAAAAAATCCCGAAATGAATAAAGACTGATATGCCATTGCTCAAAGTGTCTTTTCCAAATATAATAATTCCCAATATATGATCACCAACACACTGTAGTATTTAAAAATCCCAAACATTACACATTTTTTAATTAATTATATTTACGTCAGCACATGCCTTGCACCAACATGTGTGTGTTTATATGGGTCACATACTACATTTTTCATGTGTTTTTCTTCCATTAAGGCCGCTTATGACATTCATGTGTTTTTACATACCAAAAACAGTTGTAATACATTTTTTATGACTATTTTACAATCTCTCTTTTTCTCTTAGGATTAGAAAGCCTATTTTTGCTAGTTGGCCTTTAAGATGTTGTTGGCCTGATGTATGTAAATGAGCCTTGTTCTGATATATATATATAATGGTAAAGTTACAGAAGAAGAAAAAAACATACTTTACCTTTAATGTAAGTCAATGGAACCAGAAGTATGTGTATATATGGTGAAAGGACATTTCACATACAGAGAAAGAGATACAGAGAGAAAGGAAAAGGGGAGGACAATAGGGAATGGTTGAGTGACTCTCTCTTTCTGAAAGCGAGTAGATACCCAGATGAGCGGAGAGATTTCAGCTGCTCAGATTTGTGTGCAGGCATGAAAGCATTGATTTTAGTGGAAGAGAGTGGGAGTGGAAGGGCCATTAGAAATGTGATTGTGCCTGGATGCGGAACAGAGGTAGAGCTGGCATGGCGACAGAGATAACGCACACACACTCTCTCACGGAGCCCACTACTTTGGGCCTTATCACTTCCATTCTTCCTTTAAGAAATGGAAAAGGCCCTTCATGGAGAGAGAAGCTGCAACAGAAGAGAGACAGAGAGAGAGAGAGAGTCAGACACAGCGTGAGGAAACAGAGAGCAACTGAAAAAAAAAAAAGAGGAAAAAGAAAAGTAACAAGGGTGTGAGACTGAGTGAGTCTCAGATAGAAAAAAATGCACTAAACCAGTGAATTTTATGGCCAAAATTACGAATTTGTGTGCAGAATTATAGACACGTTTATTGTAGTGATGCACTGAAATTCAGGACACACCTGTCCGTCTTTTTTATTTGTGATTGTGAATAAACATACTAAACATAAAAACGACATAAAGAATAAAAAAAATACACTTTTATTACTGATAAAATCTGCTTCAGTATAGATTTAGATGCACAATACATACAAACAGTTTGCATAAAATAAACTTACTAAATGATTACAGTATGT